AGCACCAGGTTGGGTACCTCCAGAGGGGAATGGCAGCAGAACCCTCTGACCAGGAACAGCTGGGGAACTTCCCAGTGGAGACAGGAGCTGAGCCCCGTGGTCAGAAGCAGCTTGGGTGCTGCCAGAGAAGGACAGGAGCGAATCGCCATGGATATCACCAGTATGGATTCCTCACGAGAGGGACGGGAGCGGATCCCCATGGCCAGCACCAGCACCAGGTGGGGTGCCTCCAGACAGGGACAAGTGTGGAGGCCCATAGCCAACAGCAGCTTGGGTGACTCCAGAGAGGGATGGAAGCAGATCCCCTTTGCCAGAAACAAGTGGCATGCCACTAGAGGGTGTAGGGATCAGATCCCCGTGGCCAGCAACATCTGGGGTACGTCCCGAGAGGGATGGGACCAGAGCCCCCTGGTCAGCACCAGCTGGGGTACCTCCAGAGAGGGACAGGAGCAGAGGAGCCCGGTGGACAGCACCAGGTGGGGAACCTCCCGACAGCAAGGGGAGCGGATCCCCATGACCAGCACGAGCTTGGGTGCCTCCCAAGGGGGATTGGACTGGAGACCCATGACCAGCACCAGCACCAGATGGAGTACCTCCTTGGGGCGATGGGAATGGAGTCCCATGTCCACCACCGGGTGGGGTGCATGGGAGCAGAACCCCATGACCAGCACCAGCTCGAGTGCCTCCCGAGGGGGATGCGACTGGAGACCCGTTGCCAGCACCAGCAACAGGTGGAGTGCCTCCAGACGTAGAGAGGAACGGAGCCCTGTGGCCAGCAACAGCTGGGGTTCTTCCCAATGGAGACAGGAGATGAGCCCCGTGGCCAACAGCAGCTGGGGTTCCTCCAGAGAGGCATGGGAGCGGAGGCCCGTGGCCAGCACTAGGTGGGGTGTCTCCAGAGCAGAACGGGAGAGGAGCCCAGAGTCCAGGACCAGGTTGTGTTTCTGCAGAGGGGTACAGGAGCAGAGCCCCATAGCTAGCACAAGCCTGGGTGCCTATCAAGGGGCACGGGAGCGGAGCCCCATAGCCAGCACCAGCCGGGGGGCCCCCCAAGGAGGACGGGAGCGGATCCTGTTGACCAGCAGAAGCTGGGGTGTAACCAGATGGGAAGAAGAGAGAAGCCCCATGGCCAGGACCAGCTGGGGTGCCTCCGAAGGGAGATGGAAGCAGAGCCCCTTGGCCAGCACCAGCTGCGGCATCTCCAGAGAGCAACAGGAGAGGAGACCCATGGCCAGCACCAGGTTGGATGTGTCCAGAGGAGGACAGGAACGGAGCCCCGTAGCCATGACCAGATGGGGTGCTGCCCAATGGGGATGGGAGCAGAGGCCCATGGCCATGACCAGCTCAGGTGCCTCCCGAAGAGGATGGGAGGAAAACCCAATGGCCAGCACCAGTTTGTGTATCTCCAGACAGGAACAGGATAGAAGCCCCATGGCCAGCACCATCTGGGGTGACTCCAGAGGGGGACAGGAACAGAACCCCATGGCCAGCATTAATACTGCTTCCCGAAGGGCCAGGACCTCAGCCCCGTGGACAGCAGCCATCCTCCTGTCTCCCAAGGGGCCCGGGAGATCAGCCCCATGGCCAGCACCAGTGCTGTTCCCTCCCCAGGTGGGACTTCTGAGCCCAGACCAGACTCCTCTGCCCCCTCTGCCACAGCAGACACAGAGGAACTACCGGGCACCTCGACGGCTGCTCTTCAGGGAGGGCCCAGCTGCCGCCCCGCTCCCATCCCTGGGCAGCAAGAAGAGCTGCAGGTGGAGCCGGGGGAGGCTACAGCACCTGACTCTGCTCCCAGGCGGGCAAGGGGCAGATCACGTCAGAGGCCCCGGCGCACTCTGAAGAGAAAGGCCAGTTGTATATTAATGGAATGTTCCTCACACGCCAAGGTGAAGCCACAGTTCCAGTGATGCTGGAAGGAGGCCCCAGGGGATATCTGGTGGAAGGAGGCCCGGGCCAGCATCTCAGCCTCTGCCGACCCCCACAGAGAGCAGAAGGTTCTGCTCAGGACTCAGAAACATAGCTCTTCCAGAAAATAAAGACGTGAAAACGTGAGAAAGAGTCTAACTGTTATTAACTATGTGTCTGGCGTCATTATCCCCTCCCATGATGCTTTTTCCCTTTCTCCTGGTGCTCAGCCCAAGTTTTCCCCCCTGGGCCCTAAGGCCTACGGGGTCACTTTGCTGGCAGAGGGGCTATGGGGATGGATGTGACCCGTTTCCTTGGGGCATGCTAGCCAGAGGGTGTCTGTAGCATTCCACGTCTGCTTAAGGTGCCTGGAGCGTTGTATTCTGGGCTCTGTTTTGGACTGCACTCCCTAGGACAAGAGAGGCAGGGACATACCAGAGTCCAGTGAACGACCATGAAGATAGTGATGGGACTGCAGCATCTGATGTTAGGTGAGAGGCTGAGGGAGCTGGGACTGTTCAGTCTGGAGGAGAGAAGGCTCATGTGGATCTCTTTTTCAAGAAATGCTTGACAGAATGTGCAATGAGGCTGGATTTAGGCTCTTTTCAGTGGTTCCCAGTGATAGAGTAAGAAGTAAGATGCACAATCAGACACACAGGAGGCTCCCATCTGAATGTCAGGAAACACTTTTTTTACAGTGAACTTGACTGAGCAGTGGCATGGGTTGCCCAGGGGGTTTGTGTACTCCATCCGTGCCTGGAGGGTTTTCAAAAGTCACCTGGGCATGGTCCTGAGCAACCATCTCTGGTTGACCCTGCTTGAGCAGAGGGGTTGGACCAGATGACCTCCAGAGGTCTTTCGGAACTCAACCACCCCGTGGAAGAGGAAGAAAGCTTTCAACCAACACAAGGCAGTGTCCACTAAATGCTGTCAGAGGGGGATTCTCTGAACTTTGGCATGGCACGTTCATCCAGTCTGCGGTTAGGTTCTATCTTCTCATCAACAGGAAGCACGTTTGCAAGTCACCAACTAAAAATGTGGGTAAGTGGCCATCATTCCTGCTGGGCAAGCACGATCTGTCAGCATGGGCCTCCCACACACCAGGTTGGCACTGCTGGGATCCTAATGCAATGGATGAAATAGATCCTCAGCCCTGCACAGTAGGGTGAAGCTGAGGGCTCTCCACCACCCTATGTCAGCAGCCAGACGGCTCCAGGCAGTCCTTCCTCCCACGGGCAACCACTAGAAATGCTCGGAAGAGCTCTGACATCATGAGAAAAGCCCCTCAGTCTTCTTTAATAAGTAAATAGGCTGATAACTCCTGGGGAAGGAAGGGTTGTGGGAAAATCAGGAAATCTGCAGAATGAAGTGTTTGCACCCAAAGTGATAGCTTCCTCCTGAATCTTTGAGGTGCGGCTCTCCAGCCTCTGGAGTAGGACCTGTTCATAACAAACCATTCATACAAACCCTCGCTCCCATGTGTGCTGCGTGAGACAGGGAGTCTAAACAATCTTAGATTGATGGTGCAAGGCCTGCGCAAAAACAAGGGGAAGCGTATGGGACTGTTCGAAAAAGACATACCAGGTACTGATAACGTTGCTAGGCGATTAACTCCTAGTCCAAAGAGAAGTCCACCTTAGTCTTTAAAGAACAGACTACCCCAAAACACTGGCCTGGAAGAAAGCCAGACAACAACTGAGGCTGCGCAGAGCGAAAGGGTGAAAAGTTCATCAGCGAGGAAGAAGAGGTATTTCATCTTTACAACCCCTCCCCAGGAGACTGCGACCCCAGACCGGAGCTTGGAGAGCTCATCGCGCAGGCGCAAGAGGAGGAGACCTGATTGCCATGAGAAGCGAGGGGAGGCGGGGGTAGACTATGTATATGTATGGGCGTTTTATGAATATGCACTATTTTGTAACATATAAGCCGGACGGGAGCTGCAGACGGCGCGCATGCTTGTGCTGGAGCGATCCCCCATGCGCCCAGCGCTCAATAAACATACCCACTTCATAACTCCAAAAGTTATAGAGAGATTTCTCCGCAAATCATCCTGGCACCCCAGATGGGACTCCTCTGCTCGGCTGCCGTCGACTGCTGACGGGTGGACGTCCTAGGTGCACCCCGAGCTCTTCTTGGAGGAACTCTGCTCCCAGCTGTCCACTGCGGGAGCAGACAAGGACCATCTGGTTTGCGGACAGAGGTATGTTTAAGGGTAACAGGCTGCTGGTAAGACGCACAGAGACGTCTGGCGCACGGCTCAGTCCCGAGGGGGGTATACCCATTTGGTTTTGGCTTTGGGAATCCGCGGGTAAGTAAGATCTTTTGGGGCAAACTACCGATGACTGGTATATAAGAGGCAGTTTGCAGTTTGGGCAGGGTACTGGTAATTCCGTCACCTGCAGGATCTTGCTTTAGGTCATTGTATAGTGCACTAATTGTGGATATACTGGCTTTGAACTGACTGCAAATTGTTAACGGTTTATGATATATGTTACAAACGGATTTGGTGATTGTTTAAACTCGGTATATTTTGTGGTATGAGTGAAAAGTGTGATGGGCCCTTTAAGTTTCTGTGTACCTGCGTGGTGTGAGTGAGAGCAGCCGCTGCTGTGTGTCTGTGTGCCTGCGTGCCTGCAGGGGCAGGGTGAGAGTGAGACGCTGCTGCCGCTGTGTGAGTGAGAGGCAGCTGCTGCAAGATAAATGAGAAGTTTATGTCTGTTTAAATAATACACTGTCCTTGTATGTCTTCTGAAAACATTGTATGAGCCGGAGATGGGAAAGTGAATCCCTTCTCTGTCGGTTTGGGTTAGACTTGGTTGGACTATTTGTGTAGAAGGAGTGAATGGTCGGCACGGGGAAATGATTTATACCTGCTAGAAGGATTGTACACAGCTCCTTCTGGGCTACTGGTAGTACCAGACTGGGTTCGTGAGAGAATTCCCTGCTTTCTCTGTGCTCCTATGCTCCTATTTTTGGTAATTTTCATCAAGCCTGGGTATTAGCAAAGTGCATTGTTGATATAAGTGGTATTGTCCGATACGAGGAGATCGAGGTGTGCAGAGTATCGGGAACAGTTATGGGGAATAAGCAGGGAAGAATCGTAAAGAAAAGCCCACTGGATTGCATACTCACGCACTGGAAAGATATAGCCGGGAGGGGAAGTACGGAAAGCAAGAAAATCCTGATTAAATATTGTAACCAGTGGTGGCCACTTTACAGACTAGAAGAGGAGGCTAAATGGCCACTAAATGGAACTTTAGACTATCATACACTATTACAATTAATGTTATTTTTACGGAGGGAAGGGAAGTGGGACGAGGTGTCTTATGCGGACATGTTCTTTACCCTCCGAAATCACCCGGAGTGGCAAAGGGACTGCGGATTAGTCCCTCCGCAAGACCCTTTAGTGCTTGCCCTGGAAAAGGATTATAAGGGAGAAACAAAAGGAAAGCTGAAAAGGTGCTGTTCATCATGCAGCATTGGGCAAAGGTGCACAAGAACAGATAAAACTCGGAGGGCTAATGGACTAAGTTCGGAGGATTTATTTAGACCTCCCCCTTCCCAGCTCCAGGAACAGGATGAGGACCCGAAAGAACAACCTATTCCTCCTGATAGCCCAGTATCTTCCTGAACGCGGGGCCAAGCTCCCTCAAAGGTCCTTCAAGCACCTCTAAGGGAGGCAGTGGGACCCCATGGTGGTACGATGCTGGTAAAAGTGCCATTTTCCACCTCTGACTTAGAAACATGGGAAAAGAAAGCTCAAGACTACCGGAATGACCCGGAAAGTGTAACTAGGTATTTCCGCTTTATAATAAGGCAACATAACCCGGACTGGGAAGATATGCAGCTATTATTAGATCACTTAACTGAGACTGAAAAACAGCTGGTTTTAAAAACAGCACGAAATTTGGCAGAGGACTATTATAGGGCTGCTGGGGGAGACTATAAAGAGTTCCTTCCCCTACATGACAATCCGAAATGGGACCCTAACCGGTCTGCACACGTGGAAAGATTACAGATGTATCGTGAGTGGATTGCGAGAGGAACGGAAAGAGCTATTCCTAAG